GTGTGTGTCATAGCAACTGGTCATTCTGCCATTTGGTCAATTTACATATTAACCTTTTAATATTATATATATATATATATATATATATATATATATGCAATTTCTTATGTGTCTTTAAGTTCTGTTTGTTTTAAAGAGAATCAGTGGAAAGTATTGTTAAAGAATGCATTACAAAAGAAAGTTTGTAATAAAGGTACACAGTCCTGCAACTGCAGGTATCACACATTAAAACAAACAAAAGAACCAAACTGTCCAATATATGTGAATTCCTAAGTTAAATTTAAATGAAGTGTTTATGGTATATAAATCATCCCGGGGGGAGGGTGTCACAATAGATTCATAAGCATTTCACCTAAGTGGAATCATATAGTATGTGCTATTTTTTCCCTCGGGCTCCTTTGACTTCGGTGTCATTGTTTTGAGATTCATCCATGTTGTTGCCAGTATCAATAGCTTGTTCCTTTTTTATTGCTCAGTAGTATTCTAGTGTACAGATATTCCTTTCTTTTTTGTTCATCCATTGTCCTGTTGGTGGACAAGAGGGTTGTTTCTATTTTGGGCTATAACAAAATGATGCTGCTACAAACATTCATGAACAAGTCTTCCTGAAACATGCTTTTGTTTCTTCCCAGGTAAATACAGGGAAGTGGAATGGCTGGGTCATCTGATAGATATATGTTTGTGTGAAGCTGCCACCTGATTTCCAGTGGCAATGTATGAGAGTTCGTTACTTCACATCTTTGCTAGCAACTGGTATTGTCTTTTTTAAACGTTAGTCCTTCTAACAGGTGTGTAGTGGTATTGCATTGTGGTTTTAATTTACATTTCCCTAATGACTAAAGATGTTGAGTATCTTATCATGTATTCACTTGTCTTATTCTGGGGTGGTGGTGAAATCTCTTCAAATATTTTGCCCATTTTTTAAGCAGGTCATTTGTTCTCTTATGAATTCTCTTTACACTTTTGTCAAATATCAATTGGCCATATATGTAAATGTGGATCTACTTCTGGTCTCTGTCTTGCTGTTGATCAACTTATCCATCTCTGGGCCAACTGTTGGCATCTATTCTTTTAACTAACTTTTTAAATTTACTGACCAACTCATGCCTCAGTTTGTCAGGAAACTTTTACTGCGTTCTAGTGGTTAAGAAACTTGATGAAACAGGAAAAGCAAGAGGACAAGGTAGAAAAGAGAGATGGCCAGTTACAGAAAAGAGAAAGCAAAAGTATCACACAGGAAAAGGATTAGAAAAAGTTAGCACTTTAAAAAAAAAATGGCATTTCCCAACTCGGTCATCACTAAAGACCACCACCCCCACCTAATATGACCCTAACCAGTTTTGAAAGGTTATGTCTATAAAATAAATAGCATTTATTAGGTCATAATTCATTTGTCTTCTCATATATTATTCATCAAAGGCATATGCTACTGCCAGTGTTTCTGAGCAGTATGAGATAACCAAGGTTGCTTTAACTCCTGCCAAAAATAAACTGACCTTTTAGATATCCTATGCAGCCTTGTGGTCGGCAATGTTATGTGATCTCTATTAAGCTTTTTGAAATATTCACTCAGCCCCCACGACTCCCACCATCCGCTCCTGCCCAACCCACACTCTCTTTTTAGAGCCATGGGAGATAAACAGGAGCCTAGGGGCCTCACCTGACTTTTCTTCCTTCGTCAACCACTTGCTGTGTCATCAGAACTTCAGAAAAATACATGAATTGTTAATATGATGACAATAAGATATAAAGCACTGATTGCCAATCCATGGTTTTGAAATAGCTCAGAATATCATCAATCATTAGCCCAAAAGATAGCCCCTAAAAACCATGAAAAAAAATTTAATTCTCTAAAAGAAACCTGTAACCAGCACTTTTTCCCCCTAAGGTTATGTGGAATTTCAAATAAGCATTAACCAGGTTTAACAACTCAAAAAAGTCTGGATACCAGACCTTCAGACAAGATAGTAAGAAACTGCAAATGAAACATTCCAAACTATTTGAAAAGTTAGTCAAAAAGGAAAACCCTGTACAAATTAGATAGATTAATGCTATCAAATATGATGGCTTGACATGTCTGAATCTAAAAACATCTCAAAGTCAGATCCCAAGGTGAAAATTTTGGATTCTTAATGTAGACTATTGAAATGTCACCTTGCACCCACAGTTCTCAAACAATGATCTTAACAAAAGGGAAGAGATGTCAACAAATTAATGTGTGAAAAAGGAGTATAGAAGACACTATTATTGATTTCAAATATTATTTTTCTTTTAGTTGTTTTGTTGTTTGTTCTTCTTAAGGGTTGCTTTCAAATGTGCATGTCATCCTTATGCAGGGGCCCCAGCAAGCATTGTCAGAATTACTTCCATTTTAGCACCTGGGCTGCTATACCATTTAAGTTTACTACCTTGTCAAAACAAGCCCAAAGTCATTCTCAATTAAAAACAATGTACCCATTCGCTGATCTCATTTTGAGGAAGGACTAGGAGAGGAAATCCAGACTTAATTCCCAGCTAGCCATTAACTACATGAAATTATTTAGGTTTAAGTTCTCTGGGCCTCAGTTTCTCTCTAAAATGAGTTAGTTAATGAAATTTAACAAACATATATTATTCTGAATATAACAAAAACCATAGCTGTTACTCTAAATTCTGGCATCTCTCAATTATGTGAAGATTGTGGCTATGACTTTTCCATTATTAGGTTTATGAGGAATGTAATTAGGTTGTTCTAAATTTAAGATATGATCTACATGTTCAATCAAGTGTATCAGACCCACTTGGCATGGGATCCATCACCAGGAAATGATGCTGTGGTGGCCAATCCCATTTGAAACCTGACAAATGTAGTCAGTGTTGTTAAACTGAACTCCGTGAGCCAAAATGCTCTGTTAACTTTTTTGCTCATTTTTGCTCTCCCTAAGGCATACCAATAGTAGATCAAGCTTATATGAAGTAATTACAATGCTCCAAGCTGTCATTAGAAGAAAAATATGCCTTAAAATACATTATTTCCACTGTACAGTACCACTGTATAGCACTTTACTATCCTCAAAGATATTTCACACTTATTAGATAAGGTTTACCTCAGGTATGGAGAGCTGAGAGAACATGAAACAAACCAAAGCTCAAGGTAAGCTTTTTTCCTTCCAAAATTAACTCCTTATTACTAAAGAAACAGTGAGGTCTGCATAATTAGCAATCTAATTGCTGCCAAATTTAAGTCAAAACAGTATTAGCAAGATTTTAAGAAATGGAAACTACTAACAACAAATCAGATTTTTCTTCCATTAAACTTAATTCTTAACAATTACTGTTTAACTTTGTTTTTTTCTCTCTATTACAGTAACAATTATACTTTCCTTGCAACTGCAAAGAAATTTTGTTGACATAAATTATATAGCAAGAATCACAACATCCCAAGTCCATGATCCCTTAAACAAAACAAGATGCATGTCTCTGATGTCAGAAGCAGATAAGTACTAAGACAGGCTTTGAATTCTCTGGCAGACTGGGCTCTTTCCTCACCCACATTTCCACATCTTATCCTGGGTTCTAATGATTGTGTGCATTTCAACCCATTGACTGAGAATATTTTAAATGAAGGACAACAACATGGATGAACCTAGATATTATTGTGGAAGTGAAATAATTCAGCCAGAGAAAGACAAATAATATATGATTTCATTTATATGTGGAACCTAAAACATACACACACACACACCACCACCACCACCACCACCACCCACAACAACAAATGAAAAAAGAAAATGAAACAGATCCACAGATACAGATATAAGACTAATGGTTGCAAAGGGGATGGGGATAGAGGGTTGTCTGAAAAGGAAAAAAAATAAAAACTTTCTGAGCATATATCGAGGCTTTAAAATATATTTGCTGAATGTTATTGAATGTTTCAGTAATTGGTTAGGGCTCAAAAAAGAAGTGAGGGATCAAGGAGATTTGAAAGATAAGTACGCTTGATCAAAGTGCATAAAGTCAGCACGAAGTTTAATTACAATTCAGTTTCCATTTTCTTATCATGAAAAAGCATATGACCAAATTTTTTCACTACGAAAAATATTACAAGCCTAGGAACCAAGGGAAACATCTGTAGAATAGGATTACCTATCTATGCAATAGAATTCCCTATAACCAGAACAATAATTTTAGTGTATTCATAGGGAATCAACTGTTATTGATTGAATGCTTATTTTGTTGCAAAGGGAGTTTACCACGTTGTGTTGTGACAAACCACTTTCAAACAGCATAAAAAGGTCAGTTTTTATTAGCCACAGTAGTGACTGTGAAATGGTTACCTGAATGGTAAACAAAACCTCAGAAAGTCTTCTCCACTACTTTTTCTGTTAACAATTCCAAGCTCAAAAAATAAAGTGACACAGTGTAAGTTTCTAAAGCTTTATTATTTTTATTACATACATTTCACAAACAGAAACCTTCTACCATCACATACAATTCCATAGCCAAATGTTTCAATTTTACCAACTTTCTTGAACTATTTACACTGTCTTCCCTCCACAAAAGTGCAATCCAAGACATCTTGACAAGAAATCTTTAATGACAAGAATACATTTTAGCTGGTTTTAAAGATGTCCATCCCATATGTTTTCTTTCAATTACCTGGAAGGGTAATAAAGTCAACAGGACATGGAGATGAGCTGAGTTAGGCAGCATGGGGTTATAGGAACCAAATCTCCAACTAAAATTACTCAACAGCTGCTACCATGAGACTAATGAAAAAAGCAAGCTAGAGTTACTGACCTGGCACAGGAGAACAGAGGGCAAGTTAAGAAGTGGTCTTATAGGAAAAAAATGAAAGATTTCAGCAGGTTAGTTTTGGTGGTCTAGTCAGTTATGTATCAGTTCATCTATTAGTTTTAGGGTTTAAACAACTAATAATATTCTTTTCTGATTAATTAACTTCCCCAAAGTAGATATGAAAATACTTTTTACTCTGAAAATGAACTTTTTTAAAAAATAAAAAGTATAAAATAAAGACTTGGGAAAGCTCTTTCTTAATTAGAATGAAATAACTGACCCCAATCTCCAGGTTCACGCCAATGTCTCTTTTTAGGTAAAAACCCAGTATTTTAAGTTCTTCAGATAGAACCAGAAGAAAGTGGAGAACTGAGCTGGTCTGAAGAGAAAATGATGAGATCATCAGAAATAGTTTTCTTACTAAAGTAGATAATTGTGTTTGTTCAAGGTGTATAACTCTTAAATATAAGTGATAAAAAAAAGTTAGAGCAGATGACAAATGGATTTGAAATTATAGATCACTATGAGTGATTCAGATTATAGAGCACTATTCATCAGAAAAACAGAAGATGGATCTCTTGGGTGATTAATACCTTTTAATATCCAAACCACAACAAAAATAATCATCTTTTTGACATATTCCAATTTCCATCAAGGAACTCAGAGCAAAGTAGTTTGAGAAAGCATGGGGGAAATATTATGGTCAGCAGGATTCCAAAATAAGTTTTAGTCTCTATATTATTGTATAATTAATTATATTTTATTCTCAAATCAACAAAATTTTCCATTTTAGACAGGAATGCCTTAAAGGCCAAATATATCCTCAGATAGGATACCCATCTATGCCTCTCCTTTTGTGTAATTGCAGCATCCATAGGGTCCTAACTTTTTCATCAAAATAAAGGTTAAAAGCAAGTTTTACCTAATTATGTCATACTTATTTTTTAGGGAATAGAAGACAATTTAAGGAGAAAATAACGAAAGCAGTAGACACTACGCTCAGAGCAGTTTTAGACTGATGAACTTGCTTAATGGAATCTATACATAGACATTAAGTTTGAGAACAATACTAGCAGATTTCTCTAAAAAAAATTTAGAACAGCATTACAAATACTTTGCTAATTTTAAATTCAGAGGTAAAAGCCAAATAAATGGTGCTCGAAAGACAAAAGAAACTTTTGTACTTGGGTACATGAGAGAATCGACAGGGTAATAGATAACCCACAATTGCAGGTCTGTGTGTTACAGACAAATTTGCAAAGGTTATGTCCTATAGACCTGTTTCAGTTGCATCAAATGCTCTCAGACCAGCGATGATTTTCTGCTTCTTATTGGCACTGGGCAGTTCCCCAGCTATGAAACACTTTTCAGATCATCAAACACCAAACCAGATGCGGGAAACTGAATTACAATCATCCAACCTGAAAAATGTGGGTTCTTTTTAAGACTGCGCTGTTTCAAACAAAACATCAACTGTTGCATGTAGAACTGAAGCTCACTTGCAATAATGCCTGAACACTTCTGGGAGGTAAAACAACTGTTTATCTGAGGGGACAAAAATGGTATAAACCAAGTGAGAAATGTAAATGCTCACGTAACTCCAAATTCGGTTACTTGTAAAATAATTTTATTTTAAGCTTTCAATTTGCCTATCATTTTGGGGCAATGATATTCCAATCCTATAAGGGCATAGGATGTATGTCTAATTAAATCACCAATATCTAATGAACAGATAGCAGCATGTTGAAAGCCCAATGCTCTGACAAAATAAAGACATACTAACAGAGTATCACCTATTTTTAACCAATGGTTAAGGTATCATAGAAAGCTTCCGAATGATCTATTTTCAAACATATTGTTATCCCTTAAATTCAATGATTTTCCAAAATGAAATACTCTTAAAACAGAGATGTTAAATTTATTCTTTTCCTCATACCCTCACAAATAATGTTTTCCTTTCCTTCTAGGGCTAAATTTTTTTATTTTGCAAACACAGCATTAAATGGGTAAAATGTCACTGACAGCAATTTGGGAGGAGAGAAATGTGGCCGTGAGTGGCTCCAGAATCACGTGAGGTCTGTGGCTGTGAGATTTCCCTGTGAAAAGGGTCTGGCATGAAATGGCACTTCCACAGTGCAACCTTCATATACCAGTGCTGCCCAAATCATGTTATTATCCCTGCATTCTCCTTGGAAGCTAATGTGACCAAATTCAAATTACAATTTTCTACCTTTTTGCCCTCTTAAATCCGTGTGAATCAAATTAATTTAGTATATTCTCACTGCTATAAGTCAGCTTACCTAAAAATATGGGCAATACCAATAGCTCTCATATGTCTCATAATTTGGATATTATTCTCAGTATGAAAACTGACTACGAAACTAGGAGAGTGATGGAAATAGCCCTCACGTTAACTTTCAAATAGTTTGTCAATGAGTGTAAACTGCACGCCAAAGTGCGCTGCAGCAGCTAAACAAGAGGGCTGACACACCATCAGCTCCAGGCACAGACTTACATTCACCTGTCACATGTTTTCCCGTGGCCCAGAGAAGATCTAAAGCGGGTCTAAAACGGCTGTCTTTGAGTGAGAGGGGGCTCCCAAGTCCTTCCAAACTCTAATTCCTTTCTTAAACTCAGCCCATCCTCCCCACCACCTTAAAAGCTGCAAGGGAGACTCTTTGTGATAGGGAACCAACACCCCAGCTCACAGGACTGTGCACGGGGCTCTGGCCAGGACCACAGACGAACACTCAGGAGTCAGGGGAGGGCAGGGGCAGCCCATTTTAGTGACCCCCTACACAAAGGAACTTTCCTTTAGGTTAGAAAAGAAATGAACCTCACAATGTTTCCCTAGAAAAGATATGTAATAAAGTAAGAGTGTCGATAAAAGAGCTATTACCAAAGCAAAGCTTTCATCAATAAGCTTCCAGAACTTTAAAGGAGGAAAATGGCTTCACAAAATGGTAGTCCAGGTTGCCACAGTGTGGACACTGCTGGACGTTGCTGTACTCGGAGAAGTACTGCATCCCGATCCGCACGTCGATCACGGGCTTCCCGCAGTGCTTGCAGTTCAGCCGGGCCTGGGGAGAAGCACAGGCACGTGAGCCGCCACAGCCTTTGGCCTCCCACACCTGCCCGAGTCACCTGACCCCAAAGGCAAGACTGTTACAGCCGCGAAAGTGACCCAGGAGTTTAGTGCCGTATCCTTTCTATTACCAAAACCAGGTTAGGCAATGCATGAGATAAGCATAAGACCTACGTGTATTCAGGTATTCGTTAGTCTGAACGATTAACTATTGATTTCTCTCCTCATATGTCCTCATATGTTTACAAGAAAATGTAAAGTTGTACTGCCTTAGCCGAAACCGGTTTGGCTCAGTGGATAGAGCATCGGCCTGTGGACTGAAAGGTCCCAGGTTCGATTCCGGTCAAGGGCATGTACCTTGGTTGCGGGCATATCCCTCGTAGGAGGTGTGCAAGAGGCAGCTGATCGATGTTTCTCTGTCATCGATGTTTCTAACTCTCTGTCCCTCTCTCTTTCTCTCCGTAAAAAATCAATAAAATATATACATTAAAAAAAAAAAAAACTTGTACTGCCCTAAATTTCTCCACTAAAGTCTCCAACCACAGGACATGCCTTTGTCCCCCGCGATTTCAAAGGGTGGCTGAGCCTGACTTCCCTCACTCGAAACTGCATAAACTTCTTTGAAGATTCTAAGTTTATTTTTAACATTCATATACACGTTTCATTCTACTCGTGGCTATATTTGCATTTTCTCTGTATAAAAATAAAATTTCCCTAAAATGCTAAAGTAGAAGGAATAATCCAGGAAGCAGTGCTATATTTATCCTGAGGCTTCCAGAACCCACCAGGCACAGTGCATCTTCATTCACGCCCAGGCCTCACTCACGGCAAATACCAGGCCTTAAGTGAATAACCAGAATTGATAAATACAAACAGGCTCTCAATTTAGATTCATCCCAAAAATGTAATAGAAAAGTATTACCTCATTTTGTCCCTGAAACACTCCTGGTGAGGTGGGTAGAATTCTGTGAATTTTTAGATGAAACTGAGGTATGCAGGGGTAAAGTGACATGCCCAAGACCATACCGTTAGGAGGCAGAAAGGCTGAGATTTGAACCTAAGCAGCTTCAATCATAGCCCACGCTCTGAGCCACTATGTGGACTACCCTTCTCTCCCCTGAGATAACCTCCCTTTTAACTGATTAATCTCGTTGAGCAACAGTAAGTACATGAGGTATAGGGCACATCTTTCTTTAACTTGCTATTCTTTTCTAGTAACTAATCATTGCTTATGTTTGGCTCAAAGTCTGACTGGAAGACTTCCCTTGATTCCTTAGTCATGTCTAACACTTACACCCTCACAGTGACTACTGTTACTTGGTTTTTTTTAAAGCCAAACAGCAATCAAATGTGTTTTCCATTTCAGTACACGGGGGGGGGGGGGCAGAAAATAAAAGTCTGGGCTTACATTGTTTAAAGGAAGAAAGATATAGTAAGTCCAACAGGTTGGGTGTGCAGAAGGCCATCCTGCTTTTCTCCAAGGTAAGGAAACAGTCCCACTGCCTGTCAGAAAGAGCGCCAGCCAGCCTGGGAGCTGTGGGTTTTACTCATCACGGTGACACATTTGTGCAAAGCCTCCTCCTTTCCCAGGCCTCCATTATGTGTGGAAAACATGGAGGCTGGACAAGATTCCCTGGGTCCTTCCAAGCGATAACATGCTATGATTTACAGGCCCAGCCATGCTTTTATTTCCTTGTTTCTCTATAAGACAGAGATAAGGTGTTTCTCTCTGGTGTGTGTGTGTGAAGAGAGGGGAGCCACTTCCTTTTGTTTCTCTCACCTCATGAGCTGGCATTACGGCACAGTATTATAAAATGCTACCGTGAACAACCGATAGATTGTAATATCTCATGTCTAAGGCCAAGTTTTAAACAGAATAGAATAGCATAGAAGTAGTCAATTGTGGAATTAAATGGCAGGCTATGGATGGCCATTTAGGTCTCTCGTCACCCTAGTTCACCTTTAAGATCACTAGTATAATAAACAAAGTACAGGTGAAATACTGACTCTGCCAACATTTTAATTCAACCGATACAGGGTACCTTCTGAATAAACTGTGAATAGTCAGGATATTCTCTTCATAAAAATTAAAGCATGCTAATGATGAAAAAAATGTGTAGTACACTAATAAAGTGTTTATCACTTTATTAAAATCCAGGTGTGGCCAATGAAGAGTGATAGAAAATATCTTTCCGACCCACGAAGATTGAGGAATTATACAAGAGCTTGTTTTTTTCAAGCACCTAGAAATAAACGAAGGTATTTCCAAGGATTTTGTTGTCTCTATGGACTTGTTTAATGTTTTCACGTGTTACTATTTCCCCATTTTGCTGGTGACAGCTAAATGTCAGATGCTCTCTGAGCAATGCTAACTGCCTCTTTCATGTCAACCTCAAACACTTTACAAGGCAGGCAGGTCCTGGGTAACTGTACTGGTCTCACAGGAAGGAAACCAAAAGGAAATCCTGTCTATTACAAAAAGCAAAGCTCTCTTCTTCCTTTTAAATGAAACTTTGCTTATTAGAAACTCAGTACATGTTAACTATATAAAACATTAGAAAATATAAGTAAGCAAAAAGAAAACTAAAGAACCGCTCAGCATCCCACATCCAGAAACCAGATGATCACTGAATAGCAGATTCCTTTTTATGTTCATTTTTGGCCAACGGGAACATTTATAATCCTTAGAATTTTTTAACTTAAAATACTGAAAACATTCTCCACATACTCAATCACTGCTCTGCAGTATCCCTTTCCGTGACTGCGTAGTCCAGCGACCACTGCAGCACACTGCAGCAAACCCACCACCACTGCTGGACTTCGGGGAAGTCTCAAACGCTCACTACTAAAGCACCTTCCCCAGGCCGTTGGCCTCCCCACTGTAAAGGCCATGCTGACTCTAACTCCTCCACGTTCACCTGGGGACAGAAGCTGATGCCACCAGTGCTCGTTCTGTAGGGGTCAATACCAACCTGACAGCACGGAGAGGCGGCCAGGATGTCGTAGGTATACATGGTGCCCAGCTGGTGCCAGCTGCCGTCCCACCGCGACTTGCACTTGATGCAGATGATCTTGTGCACCCCTTCCAGGCAGTCCACGCACACCGCGTACAGGTGCATGAGTCTCCCTGTGCACAGAGACACAATGCTGAGGTGGCCGTCAAGGAATTCCCCTTTTGTCTCCAAAGGGGGTTAAACACTGGTGCATCTACTAATTATAAGCAAACATTTTATCATTTGGATAAATATAAAAAGCAAAGTAGATATCACATGTCCCCAAAGTTGTCCTTTTAGAATAATGATAAATTCCAACTCTTGTCAATGGAACATGTACTTTAATTTCAATATTTAAGTTTAAATATTGCTTCAAATCACTTTTCCAAAAAATGCTGCCAGATTGCCAATACAGACATCCAAACTCAAATGACCAAGCCTTGGGTGCTCAGAACCAGCCTGTGGCCTCCAGGACTTTCTGCACAGAAGCCTACAGCTGGCACACAGAGACTGGGCCAGCTACACTGGCTCATGCAGTGTTTCCCAAAGTGTGGTATGCATACCCCCAGGGGGACGGGAAGAGTTTGAGAGTTTGGTGGGGGTATGCGTTGCACCGGAGTTCGGTAGGGATATGCACTGCACCGTACTAAGCTGCGCCTAATTCTACATTCTCATGAGTATGAGGGGTACTCAGTGTTACGAAAACTATAGAAGGGGTACACATATGTCAAAAGTTTGGGAAACACTGGTATAGTCATGGGCCCTCTCATCCATTAACAAGTCCCATGATAAAGTCAAAAGTCCGTCCTAGCATTGGGAGCCCAGAATTATACCACAGCCAAAATTGCTATGTTAACTGTCCTTGTCCCCAAAATTACTCAACCACCACCACATCTAATTTAGGAACCAGAATTATATCTTACTTGTAAGTGGTGTTTTAAAATGAGTTCAATGTCTTGTTATTTACTGGGCTCTTAAAAGTCACACCCCCATTCCTCCATTAGTTATTAACACCTAAGAAACAATGCCACTCAGTTTATATGAAGGCTTAGGTTAGGGTTCAATCACTGGGAAAGAGTCAGAATGTACAGGATCTGCTGGAATGGTATCAGCAACAATGCTGCTCTCTGTGTGGTGGTCAGGAAGTTCCACTGTGCTAGAAACTCCCATCAGGAGCACACCAGCTCCTAAGTGGCTTCTTATTCAAAACTAGAGGCCCGGTGCACAAAAATTCATGCACAGGGCGGGGGGGGGGGGGGGGGGGGGGGGGGGGCGCCCTAAGACCAGCCTGCCCCACACTCAGAGTCCTGGAGCCATCAGGGAATGTCCTGCTGGGAGCAGGCCCAAGCCACAGTCTGGCCTCCCTCTACGGGAGGCGACTGGGTGATCAGAGGAAGGCAACGCTCCCATCACACCACCGCTGCCTAAGCCTCAGCCCTTGTAGCCACTACGGCCCTCGCAGTGGCAGCTGCCATCCTGCAGCCACCTTCCACAGCTTGCTTGAGCCTTGGGCGGCTGCTGGGGCTATGTCCGAAAGGACGTTTGGAAGACATCCGCTCTAATTAGCATGTTACCCTTTTATTAGTATAGAAGTGCTGTTCGCTGCCTTCAGCCAGACCTTGGCCAATCACTCCTCGGTGCTCCTTAAAGTGGAGAAGGGTATACAGTTCTTCAGAGGTATCTTTTACAGCATTTTGTCGCCTCTTTGAGGACTAGGTCTTACTCATCCTTGTAGGCTGAGTCTAGCATCCTGCCTAAAATGTGGAAAGCACTCCACAATTGTATGTTGAATGAATGGATGGGGCTTATCAATAGCCAAAGACAATATAATGTTGGGAGCCTCCATGTCAGAAATAGGAAGGATGGTGTAAGCTTCTGGCAATATTGTCCACCTCTGCTCTAGGGCACTGAAAAGAAAAGGTCACACATACCATCCCCACTCAGACCAGCCTGGGAACATTTCACAATGTTAATTCAAGCATCCAAAGGATACTAGATAACACTTCATTCCTCATTTCCCTCCTGGGCTTACGTAATTCTCAACTATTCAGACATGCAGGCAGCTTGGGGCAGGGACAGATAAAGGTCAGGTGTTGGTAGCAATGGCCCTAATGAAGAAGTTGACAGCGAGCTTTTGCTGAGGGCTTACCAAGGGTCTGACACTGTGCTATGAGGCTACCTGAAGCACTACACTTAACCCTCACAGCAACACTAGAAAGAAGCTACTATTGTTATTCCCATTCAGAGAGGAGGAAGTGAAACTGAGAGAGTTTGAGTTGCTTGCCCATGTTCATAAAGATAATGAGCAGCAAAGTCCAGACTTCAGTTCATATCTGCCGGACTCTTAACTTCTAGACAAACTCCTGATGTGGACAGCCTCTGGATTTGTTTCAGTTACTATATTATACATAGTCCTAGATTCAGAGAGGTTTACATTTCTGAACTCTAGGGTTGTGAGATCAAGCAGAAAGTGGAGATTCCTCAGAGAATAGTGACCTGTGGTTCTAAGTGGAAAAGAAGTACAATAAAAACTTCCTCATTAGAACAATCTTAATAAATATTCAAGTCAAACAAAAATATCTAATCAGAGGAAGAGTCAGTGAACGAAGGCTGGAGCTGGAGGCTGGGGAGGGCAGTGAGAGGTAGAGGGCATGGAGAGGGGTGACCATCCATTCAGCCAGCACTGAAAATAAGTTATTTCAGCAGCATATAATCAGCTGCAGCCGGGAATCTGTGGCTGGAACGTGGCCTTTCTATTGGAGTGGAAGATGCTGTGAGGAATACATGGCCAGACGCTGATGGCAGAAATTATTTACACTAGTTTGCTGTAGAAAGGACTGCATGGGCTTCTCCGAGATGTGACAATAACAACACAGGAACATGTCAAGGCCCCACAAAGAACACGACAGACATGACAGAGCTCTTTATTATAGCTTCAAAGTGATTCTACAACCTGTTCTCCATCTACGCTACTCATTCTCCACTCTAGAACCTCTGCTCAACCAAATGATTCTCTCCAGCTTTCTCCTCCTAATTTTTTTAAACCTCTATTGCTTTGCATATGGCTTCATCTCCCTAGCAACAAACACCTGGTGTGGCTAGAACCTTTACTTCAAATTAGTCCACCTTTTGACATATGCCTTCACACTGCCTCTCACTACGCAGGCCAAATGGGCCCCTTATACCCTTAATGTTCATAATATCCAGATGTTACTAGGTCCCCTTGTGGCACTAGAGCCATAGGCCTGGGAATTAGTTATATTTTTATCAAAGCATCATACATCCTAAGGCTATAAACCAATAAAAGGTAAGGACCAAGAGTACCCAGCTCATAAAATTCTTAGGTTTGGTTGGCTGATGAATGAATTAAATGAAAAGAATTTGTCATCATCACGAATGGAAAAAGAACACTACTCGTCTCATATGTACCCTCGTTCATCTTCATAAAGAGTTTCCAGCCTGAAAATGGAGACTAAAGGTGTTTCAACTTACTACCCTCTCAGATTCTCCCCAAACAGTATGAAGAACAAGAAAAACACAAAAACTCCATCTTCTGTGAAACTAAACCTGACTATGAGGCCAGAAGTTGGGAGGAGAAAATGTACATGGTTTACCGTCAAACTGGACAGCAAGCACAGGGAGAGTGAGAAGAAGTGCTGAAAGGGAACGAGTGGGGTATACAAGTAATCAATAGTCCATACAGTTTTTTCCATCAAGAAGCAGGGTCTATTTCGTCATCCCCTGAACCTGGGCTAGTCTTACAACTTGTTTTGATGAACAAAATGTAATGTTACTCAGGTCCTCACTTAACTTTCACCCTCCTGGTGAAATGCCATGGGAAAACCCAGGCAAGCCCACTGGGAGGTGAAAGGCATTGCAGAACAGGGACGAGCAATTCCAGCTGAGGCTCCCGAGGCAAACTAGCTGCCAACTGTTAGAAGTGTGGAAGAAGCCATCTTAACCAAACCATCCATAAACCTGTCTTAAACCACTAAGGTTTTGGAGCGGTTTGCCTTATAACAAAGGCCAGACAACACACGGGATTAGGTGAAACTCTAAAAATTGCCTGAGAACAATCCCTGCAATGTTAGCTCCTCACCCCACTGAGAAGGAAAAGAAATTGCATCCATGAAACAAGAACAGAATACTATTAAAAAGAGCTCTTAAATATTACAAATATGAGAACAAAATCTTTAAAAATCAGTAAAAATCCTGGAATATAAAGTCATAGGAATCTTCCAGAAAGCAGAATTAAAAAAGAGATGAACAATAGGGCCAAAATATATATAATAAAAATAAACCAAAAATAATTTCCCCATACTTAAGAACGTAAGTTTACAAAGTCAAGAAAGCACCCTGTCCAATGAATGAAAAATAGGAAGACCCATATCATGGTGAAACTGCAGAATGTTAGGGAGAAAGAGAAAAATCTTAAAACCCTCAGGGGAATAAAGGAAAAAGAGTAATATTAAGTAATATTAGACTTTGCAATAGCAACACTCGAAAACAGGAGACAGAGAAGAAATGCCTTAGAAATTCTAAGGGAAAAATAATTGTAACTTGGAAAATTGTAACCTGCCAAACAGCAATTGTGAAGATAGACTCAAGATATTATGAGACTTTCAAAGTCTTAAAACATCTATTTCATGCTTCCTTTCTCAGAAAGCCCACAGGGGATGTTTAGCAAGTTGAGGGAATAAATCAAGGAAAAAGAAAATGTGGCATCCAGAAAACAGAAGATAAAAAATAAGAAAGAATTAAAGAAATTCCTAGGAGGGCAACTATGTAGTATAACAGGTACTGAGTGCATAAGGACAGACAGGAGCAAGAAGATGAAAGGTTCCATGAGGGAAATATTTTTTTTTAAAAAATCCATAAAATGTCAGAGGTATGTGGCAATGTTTTTGAAAGGTGGTTTGCATTGCTGCTGGAGAATGAGAACAATCAGCCAAAGATTCAAAGAAGGCTAAGCAAATGGAACATGAAGCAATTATTAACTTCAACAAAAACAAGAGGTATTTCCATATAGAAAATATAAGTACCCCATACTACTTCTTGGCTTAATACTAAATATATCCATACAAATGGTTAAAAATATATATATATATTAAGGATTATCCAAGAATCCTATATAATAAAACCCTAATATGCAAATCAACCTAAGGTGGAACAACCAGTCGCTATGATGCACACTAACCACCAGGAGGCAGATGCTCAACGCAGGAGTGGCCCCCTGGTGGTCAGTGTGCTCCACAGGGGTGTGTCGCTCAGCCAGAAGCCAGGCTCATGACTGGCAAGTGCAGCATGGTGGCAGGAGCCTCTCCTGCCTCCACAGCAGTGCTAAGGACATCCCACTGCCAGATTAAGCCATCAGTCAGACATCCCCCGAGGGCTCCTGGACTGCAAGAGGGCACAGGCCAGGTTGAGGGACCTTCCCGAGTGCACAAATTTTGTGCACTGGGCCTCTAGTTGTTGTATATTATCCTGAGAGAAAGAGGAAGATCATGAAAGCATAGTCATCCACCTTAAGAGTCAATAGGTAGTATCTAAAATTGGGAGAATGAAGATAACAGTTTTAAAATATGATGGTAAAAACCTAAAGAATCATATAAGATTTAAGTCTCTGGGAACTCGGATAGCAGGGATTGGTAGGAAGAAGACAGGTGGGAATGTCATTTTCACTACAGGCCTTTTTACACACTTTTAAAATTATAAAGATAGGTGACATGCATCCCATCTTTACATAAATTCAATAGTGTTACATGCATTGACCGACTGCTCACCTGTGCCATTCAACATACGGTTGAAATGTCACTAAGTCTTTTTATGTCATCCACAGCATTAATAAGCTCCCACCCTTCACCACTAAGATAATATCTGAGTCTCCAATAATCCTCCACATTCCTTTTGTTGCTATCAAGAAAGTCTCATCTTTCATAAATGTCAAGAATAATTCAAATAATCTAAAAACACCCTGACCCTCTCCGACTCCTACTTTTATATGCTTACAAGGATCAAAGAGAACACACAGCTTGCTGGGCACATTAACACGGGTTTCAAAGGCGACTATTTTACAGTGAGTAACGTTTTTTATGCAATCTCTTCCCTAAGTTTCCTCCCAATTATAAAAAACTATACACCAGGGATCCTCTCTTCAAACTGCAACAGAACAAACAGATGCAGTTACCCACCAGGACAACTGAGCTAGGGGCACAGTGATACTGGAGTAAGCAGACCTCCCCCACCTCCTACACCTCCCTGCAAAGCGGAAATGTCCACGTGTGACCCGGCCCCTGGCTAGAACAGGAAAGCACCATCAGTTAACACTGAGCCAGAACACAGGCGGCCCATCGCGGTGGCCTTCCGGCTCTCCACAAACAGAAAGCAGGCAAGGTGAGTGAACACCTGTACCTTGAAGGTGACAAGGAACATCGTATTCGATCTCATCGTGCCTCGATGGGCTTAGGAACAGGGTCCCGTCCACCAGTGGGAACTGTTCGAACACCGGGAGCGCCCGGTGGCACAGGGCACAGTTTACAACGTTCCTGTGGCTGGCGCTGAGGGCCGCGAGGATGAACTTGCGCAGATCCTCGCCCTGGCCCATCTGGGCGTCGTCTTCCATCCGCACGTGGAAAGTGTTCAGCTTGTGCCTGGGGATGTGGGTGAGGAGCTCAGAGAGGTCCAGCCGCCGCAGGAACTGCACGGGAGTGTCAAAGTGGCCGCCCCTGTGCACGGACAGCCCGGCCGGACTGTAATCAAAGTGGGTGTTTCGGAACACGTGGCCCCCGGCCATGGCCTTCTTGTGAGGCTCCAGGTGGATGGCGTTCTTTAAGAACTCCCCCAGGTATCTGGAGGAGCGGGGGCCGCTGAAGTGGGCAGGGGAGAGGATGGAGTAGCCGGTGGGTGGGGACTGGCCGGGGGAGCCGCAGGGGGAGCGGCCCCCGTAGGCCCCGGCGCCCACCGCCTTCTCTTGGGAGTTCTGCCGGTCCATGGAGTGCCGGCGGGGGAGGTCGTGGCTCAGACCTTTCTGGGGCTTGTTCGGGGGCCTGCACTTTTTGGCCTCCTCCACCACCTCGCCGGGCGGCCTCCCCGTGTTCTTCTCCGACCCTGACTTCTTCTTCTTCTCGTCCTGCATCCGCTTCACCTGGTACCAGTCCGTGTCCTTCTTCAGGTGGCCCTGCCCGCAGCGGCAGGAGCAGAAGCGGAAGGCCAGGTCATAGCCCTTCTTGGTCCACATGTTCTGGCGGCACTGCTTCTCGTTCCAGCTGCGGGCCCGCCCGATGCAGTTGAACTGGACCAGGATGCTGCTCTCCCACTCGTAGAAGCACTGCAGGTGCATCCAGCTGCTGTGGGGGCAGTGCTCGTTGTTGCACACCACCTTCTGGTAGTCGTCCTTCTCCAGGTCCACGGGCCTCCCAAAGCTGCAGATCAGGGGCGTGGCGCAGGGGGCTTCTGGGGAGAGACACAAAGGGAGAGACAGTCAGCCCATAGGATGAGGGGTTCCCAGCCGACACCAGGTCAGAGACCAAATCCCGCAGTAGCCCATTCATGCCAAAGGTACCATTTTTCTGGTGTCAGATTTCCACCAGGATTTACGGAGACTGGAGTTCCACTGGGTTCCTAGTATTTCATTGTCCATAATGTTTTCTACAGGCCCCTCTGAGGGCTCGTTCTGCTCCCAGTTGGGAACCACGGAGCTTGATCACAAAGGTTCTACATGCCATGCGTGGGTAAGAGTTACCTGTTGTAGCTGAGAAGCTAAATGAGGGCTGTGAGCCACAGAGCCCCTCAGGCGGAATTGTTTTAGAAACCTCATCCGGGTGGCAGAGTGGGACATGAGGCTGGAGGCAGAGAGGCCAGGGGAAGGGAGTAGAGCATGCAGTAACCCAGGTGAGAAATGACAGGGGTCTGGGCTAGACAGCAGAAAGACAACTCCCGTGGTTGAAGCTGGGCAGATGCTGATGGACGGCGAGGGACATGTTTGGAAGAAGACTTGGGGCAGGCCTGGGCTGGGCCTGCTGAATTGGAAGTGCCTGTGCACCACCCGAGGTGGAGAGAGAGGTGAGTGGAGCCCCAGAGAGCTGGAGCTGTGGATACAGATGTGAAGCCACACAACCAGCCAGGGAGGTGCAATCCCTGGAATGTGAAGAGTGGGAAAGAATCCTGGGAAGCGACATTAAAAGGCTGGAGAAGAGTTCTGCACAGAGACTAGTAAGGAATAAACAGAATTCACTGACAAATCGGGAGAGAATTCTATCAAGGCAGTTGGAAAGGGGGTAAGAACAGGGGACCTGGGCTGTCTGAGGGTGCCAGGGAAGACCAGTGTTTCTCACTCTGCACCACTCTGGACATTTGGGGCTGGACAATTCTTTGTTGTGGGAATGTCCTGTGCACTGCTGATGTTTATCAGCACCCCTGCTAGATGCTAGTCACACCACCCCCCGCAACTGTGACACCCCAAAAGGTCTCCAGTCGTTGCCAGATATCCCCTGGGAGCAAAATCACCAATCATCCCCTTCAGTGTGGGATTCTGGAACTTCAGCAAAACAGCCCTCAACAACTTGTTTCCATCCATGCCTGTGACCACTGTGGCCTCCCTGTCTACCTCCTGGAAATCCACAATCCTTAATCTCCATTCGTCCAAATCCCATTCCCCTAGTGTATCAATTCACAGTATGGGCTCTGCAGCCAGACTGCCTGAGCTGGAATCCCAACAGCACCACTGATGTGCTGTGAGCTCACGGAAAAGTTACTTAACTTTTCTTTGTGTTACTTTTCTGTGTAAAAATGCATGGACTTTCCATGGTGGTCATAAAAATGAAATATCCCCATTCACAGGCAGTGCTTAGAGCAGGGCCTGGAACAAATAAGCCTCATGCCCTGCTTTCCAATCTTCAAGGTCCACCTCTAGACACGAGTGTCACCAGGACTCCCCTCTACCCCTACATCCTGAGCAGCACAGTCCAGTCTGAACCTTATTTGAGTCCCCATTCTGGTGCCCACCAGGTGATGACTCAGGAGAGTGGACATCTCTGACTCGCCTTTAGGCTCCTGGTACCACTGGCCAGGCCATACACACATCCGGTGCCGAATACAGTTGCATTAAAATAACATTGACAAACCTATGTGATAAGCAAAGCACAGGAAGAGAGCTCTGCAATCCTAGACAAAGAGAAAAGACCTGACCGTACAGAAAAGAAGTAGGAGAGTGGTTTGCAAACTGAGTAAATTAACGAGTCTCCAGGTCTGAGACCTTTAGTGTCGTTTAAAATGTTAATGAGTCAGTTAAACAAAGTTCAGTTGCTTTTAATTTCTGTCCTTCAAAGGAAGAGACTTCGAAGAGATGTCTCTAAAACAGAATGGCAGTAATCAGTGATATTAACCCAAGACTAGTGAAATCAAATTTTAAAAGGCCCTAACTATACTTTACATTCATAATATCCAAAATTTAAATGTTTAGATCGACTTGATATTTCTTTAAAAGGTATTTTCACATTTTAAAAAAGGTTGACTAATAAGGGGGGAAATCCTATTTATATCTTTCCCAAAAAGCTGCATATGTATCACTAAACCAATACTGAGCACTTCCTGCGTACCAGGTCTCAGAAGCAGGAAAGATGGCAAATCCCGCTGAGAACTCTAACAGAAGTATATGCCTGGCTCACGGAGGAGGCAGAGCTCCAAGTCCCTGTCCCTGCAGCCTGGTCTGTGATCACCACAGCCATCCTCACCTGCTTTCTACTCTCCAAGACTCACAATGATGAGTCCCCACCCACCCTGCCAGCCCGGCTTGTTTACAGCTCAGCCACTTTGATGTGGCCTTGTGGCTAGACCTCAAAAACAAAGACAGAGCCAAGGGCTTGTTTTAATACCAAATATTATGTGCAACAGACACCTCCCCCTGGTACACACCTCCAGGCTAAGGGCAAGGCTCCTCGGATTAGGTGAGTCACAGGGTGGGCCTTGGGAACAGCAGAGAACTCCTGAAGAGGCTTCTACATCTCACACAGCCTTCCGAGGGGTAGGCTGGCCTCTACCCTCAAAGGCAAGGTTTCCTTTGGGGTTTGGTTCTTAACTCCCTACACCTGGTCCCCCTCCTCCTCCCCCTGTCTACACTGCAGAGGCATCTAGAAGGTGCCTAGTTGTGATACAAATAATACAATAAGTGATAAATAATAATATAAGATCAAACACCGTTTCCTGTCCTCACAACTGTAAACCTACTTTTGCCCACTCCTGTATATGTGGAAACATGCTGTAAACTGTAAACTTGCATAAAAACTTTTCTATGTTATCTTCAGGATAAGTTTATACCTGTGTACCTGGCTGCCCTACTAAATGCAGATTGCTCCAATATAGTTCTACTTTTTCTATCTAATGTTTTAGATAGATACTCAATAGGTGTTTAGAAAGTCAATAAATGAATGAATAATGCCAAGCCTTTTTAAAAACTTCCTAAATAACCAAAACATATAGAAAAAGACTTTGGAACTGTAAGAAACAGCAGTGGTGGCATTCAAAATGACACGAGATACTAGCAGTATTACCGAAACATTGGATTGCTTCCTGAAAGCTGTCTCTAACTGCAAAACCCCCAGCTCTTAAGAATAGCTGTCCCATAAATGGAATACAGGTTGGTATGATACAACTAAACCTTTAACTGGGGAAAGAGGAGAAGGGGATCCCACGTTAGCAAGGGCTGGTGCCACATAGATCCCTTGGGATATTGGTATAAGCTGTGATAGCTTGAACAACAAGCAATATGGGAAAACGCTCCTTTATGCAGTGTCAGCAGTTTTTAAAAATGTATATAAGCCCCCAGTGCCAGTTTTTACAGCTTCATCATCCAATATTCAGTATCCAGTATCTATTTATCTCTGCCCAAGTAAAAATGATCAGGGCTCACCACATCCTGGGCAACAATCTCACAGAGTTTAAAGTCCGGACAACAGAATGACTAGGCCTAGGTCACGAGGGCAGCCTGTCACTCTCCCCAGCCTTCACATCCTCCACCTCTGCCCCCACCTATTGAAAGGGGAGTATCTGTGTTGTATGAAAGGAGAGAAGGTTAGCACTCCCCTTGACAAGGATGGAAGAGGCTCTCAGCCTAACAACACGCATAAGGCATTGCCACCTACTTCTAAAAGGGGAGTATCTGACAGCAGTCATTTACCCTGGCTGCCCAACAAACATGATCCCCTTGGCAAACGTGTTCACACTAACAGGCTCCCTGTACACCAGGCGTGGCCATCTTCAGCTTTTCACCTGTGAAATTAAATGTTTCACCCCTCTTTAAACGGTTGCAAGCATCAGGTAGGGAGTTTGATGGGGACGAGGGGTGAGGTAGGGACTTGGTCCTATTCATCCTTGTAAACCCACTGCTGTGAAAATTGTATTAGTGTTTCATAAATGTCCTGTGGAAGAAAAGTATGGCCCCATCTGAGTCAGTATTCCCAGGGGCCACATGCCGGAGAGCACAGCCTGACTAGGTCCAGATGAGCTCTCAACGGATCTTCTACACTCAACCCTGAAATTCTTTTGGGGGCAGAGCCCAGCCCTCATCCTCACTTCCACAAACTTAACCTAACCTATTCCATCCTCCGTTGGTAGTAAATCACCAACTGCAAATATTAGGGGTCCTGAACACCTGTGTTATTACACGGATCTTTTCCATATTTTAATTCCTGCTACATGGGGACACATTTCCTCACTTGCTGAACAAGTTCTGCTCAGGGTATGAAGTTCAGCAAGAGGAACTTCACCTCTAGCTTCCAGAGAGGCCACAGAGCTTGGGCACTGAGGACACAGACTCTGGAGCGAGCCAAACTGGACCTGACTCTCAGCTCTGCAACTTACTTGTTCTCAGATTTTGGCAAGTCAACCTCCCTGTACTTCTGTTGTCTAACGTGTAAAAGGCAGAAGAACAGTATCTACCTCAAAGGGTCCCCGTGAGGATTAAAGGAGTTACGGCCGTTTGAACAGTGCCTGGCATAAAATAAGCAGTTTTTTAAAATATATTTTATTGATTTTTTACAGAGAGGAAGGGAGAGAGAGAGAAACATCGATCAGCTACCTCCTGCACACCCCCTACTGGGGACGTGCCCACAACCAAGGTAAATGCCCCTGACCGGAATCAAACCTGGGACCTTTAAGTACAAAGCCTGACGCTCTTATCCACTGAGCCAAACCGGTTTCGGCTAAAATAAGCAATTATTAAAAGCCCTATCACCTGATGTTAAAACCAAATAAGGCTGAATGCATTTTAGAGTATAGCTACAATCAGGAAATGACCATCCTATCTCCACACATAAATAAATAGGCGAAAGAAATACATTTCTTCCCCACAACAAGCATGCACAAAACAATTCAATAAATATTCACTGAGATGTTTTAAAAACACAGAAGCAGAATTCTCTTCTTTTAACCCCTTAAATATGTTCTCCTTAATTTCA